ATGGGTTATTGTGTTAATAAAATATATTTGGGATTTATTCATGGATAAAAAAAAAAATTATGCTACCCTTTATTTATTTGCATAATAAAACGACATCTCAAAAACAAGTTCTTCTGAATATTTATAATGAGAATAGATCTCATAAGGTGAAAATCATATGAGATATTGTTCATTTAAAAGAATAATTTAAAAAATTAGCAATAATAATAATAATATCTGGAAATATCTGTGAAAATTTAACAGTTTTTCTGTTTTAATTTTCTGGTGAATTTTAATTCTTAATTCTACAATAAAATTCCCCTATCGCATCGTTAAACAACGTTAGTAAAACATTGCAATAACAATAATAAACATGAATGCTGATCCTTATTTTAAGAAGTAAGGAGATACAAATGAAAAAATTGGATTTGACAACTAAAACAGCCGTTAATCACTTCTATATTCCTTCCTTTCTTTCTTTCTTTCTTTCTTTACTTCATTGAAACCAAGTAGCGTCTTTGATATGTCTTTTACGTCTTTCCACGAATTAGTGCTTTATTTATGCGGTATTGGCATGGCATAACGGTCGTGCTAACTAAGGGAGGGACAAACTGAATAATAATGATGATAACAAAACAACAACACTAATTCATTTTAGTTTAGAAAAATTTTAGAATTATATCAATTAGTGTCCTCCATAGTTTCCTTCGTTTCGATAATAAGAGTGATGTCAAATTTTGGATGGAAATCGTCATCTTTTTTTTTTTTTTATATACAATAACGTTTTCTGTGTATATAAATACAGGTTTCTCAGTAAATGTCGACATTTGTCTTGTCATTGCATTTACTAATATAAACATAAATATATCTTGAACATTTTTTTTTATCAACGTCGGTTGCTTCATATCACTTTTATTGTGTAAATATAAGCTTGCATGATCAAATCTGACAAAGTTTATCTGTCAGCAAAGAGGTGTGTTAAAATTTTCATATGCTAGATGGTCAAAACACCAGTCACATGACTTGACAAAAAATGGCGACTCGTCGACTCACCTTACATTCAATAATCCCCTGACAGTTTGCACTAGGTGACCTTCTAGGGTGTGTCCATCAACGTCAGTCTGCTTCGTAGACAATAATTACAGCAAAAGGAGTGAAATATATGAATAGCATTCATTCGAGAAAAGTGGAAAGATTTCAGTTGGATTTTGTCATTTTGTGTGCTTAAACATAGAAGAATTAAATGTAGAATAAAAGACGCCTATGTCAATGTGACCCACTCAGAATAGCACATACACACACGCGCGTACACACACACACACACACACACATATATATATATATATATATATATATATATTATAAATTTACTAATTTAAAAATATGTTTCGATCGCTACACAGGAATCACCATATTTCAAAAAGCAGAAGTTTTTAGTTTCTGTTTTGGAAACATAGTAATTCCTGTGTAGCGATGGAAACTATATTTTAAATTAGTAAATTTATAATATTTATGCTCTGCAGAATTGTATTGAGCACTTTTTTTGATTAAACGATATTTTAAATAAAAATAATTAATAAGAACACCGGATTATAAATCTTACTGTTTTTTCTCTTTATTTTAATATATATATATATATATATATATATATAACTAAAATAAATCCAGCTTACCCTGAAGATCCGTTTAGGTGAAATCTAGGTAGATTTTTAGTTATTCCCCTTCTACTTAGCGTATTGAGCATTCTGAGTTTTAGTCTTACTCCCCGCTTGCTTTTTTCTTCTTCTTTGGGCTAAAGACTTAAGGCACTGGAACATTTATTTCGCCCTGTTCGTATGCTTTTAGTTCTTTCTTTTTTTTATTTCCAATTTTTTCCTTGGGTACCGATTTGTTTTGACATATCTACAAGTTGAATTGTCCGAGTTTTTTTCCAAACGAGTATTATTATTAGTATATATATATATATATATATATATATATATATATATATATATATAATTAAGCAATTCATCGAGCGGCTTGGAGATAGTAGCCGTGGCTCTCGGGGGCACAGTCCTATGGGTAAAGGAAACTCGGATGAGTTCCACCACGGAGAGTGTGATCGAGCGGCGCATTATCGAGTCTAATTCGCTACCTCTTCGCCACCGAGGCCCGTTGGTATGACGTTTGCCTCATTTCGTAACTGTCCGGGTTTCATTTCACGGTAGTGGATGCGCACTGCTGATGGGTCCTAAATACAGGACGAATAGGCCGTCCAGTGTTTTCTGCATTCTGTTGAGGTTTCTTCTAGATTCGATGAATTACTTAATTCTAATTTTCTCAAATCCTCCTTAATTTCTATCATACATATATATATATATATATATATATATATATATATATATATATCACAAAGTGGAAAAGATTTTTATGCGATCGGACTAAAGTGAAGTTCACGTTGATGCGATTGACGCATGCGCATGAAGGAGAGGAGACGCTGAAATTTTAAATTTGAATTTTTTATTTGAATTTAAAAAAAAAA